GAGGCGGGGCGGCGAGGAGTGGGTGGGAAGGCGGCTCGCCACGGCCAGGCCAGCACCGCGAAATGTACTACAAGCATGTGTGATTGTTGTGACGAGTCAGTCGCGCGCCGTCCGTCACGCTGAGAGCAGCAGCAGAAGCCGCCGCAGTCGCAGCCGCAGCCCCGAGGCCCGCCCGCGCCCGAGACGAGACCGGCGACCCCCAGGGCCCCGTACACCCCAGCCCGGCCCAGTCACACAGCCAGCCGACAACATGATGAAATGTGAGTACCTCCTGCAGACCGCGCCGACGGCGTCCTGGAGGTTCTGAGTGACTCACGGGTGTGCTCGTTTTGTCGCAGCCGAGTCCACCGCCACCGAGAAGATCTCCAAGACGCCCGCGGCGCTCTCGGACGCCGAGTGGGAGGAGCGCCTGTCAGAGGACGTGTTCGCCGTGTGCCGGCGCAAGGCGACCGAGATCGTAAGTTCACGGCCAAACGCGGGGCTAGCGGCGGCTATGCTCAAGCTTTTATCTGGCGGTCTATGCTGGCCTTGTTAGGACCTCGCCTGCTCTAACCTTGTGCTCTTGCTCCTCGGTGCAGCCGTTCAGCGGCCGCTATCTGTCGCACTTCGAGAGGGGGACCTACACGTGCACATGCTGTGGCGCCAATCTGTTCAGGTGAGCCAACAGTCGGGCCGACACCCGCACGCCAGCGACCTTGGGAGCGATTCTCTAGACTTGTGATTCCCTTCAGGTCCGAGGCCAAGTACCTGTCCGGCTGCGGCTGGCCGTCCTTCAGCTCGTGCGTCGAGGGCAGCATCAAGGAGCTCCCGGACCTGACCCGCCCTGGCCGGCCGCGCACCGAGGTCCTCTGCATCAAGGTGAGTCCCGTCGGCGTGATGTCCTGGCCATTTTGTGAGTTTGGGGGTGATGACGGTATCCTCTCCTCTGCAGTGCGACTCTCACCTCGGCCACGTCTTCCCGGACGGCCCGGCGCCCACGGGCCTGCGCTACTGTATCAACTCCGTCTCCCTCGGCTTCCAGTCGGCTGACGACTGCTGATGGTCGCCGTCGCCCCCCCTCCCCCGGGCCTAAGCCTCGCCCACTCATCTCAACAAGATGAGATGAAGCACCCTCCATCACAAGTGCTTCTGTTGTTGCTGTTGTTAGATGTTTAAGGACTCCTGTGCGTTTGTGCCGGACGTGATGGACGTACATTGACTCACCCGGTTGAGCCGTGCGCTCTTCTTTTTCAATCAACGAAACTGAGTGGTTGTGGACATTTTAGTATCATCAGAATAAAATCATATCGTCACTAGTTTCAAGTGTCATGAAAGCTTTCACCTCATCCCTGACGTGTACTACATAGTCGTCGAATAAAAAGTATTTATTTCCGAGTTCATTTCCGAGTTTTCACTTTTGTAGACTATACTAAGTTCTGCTGCACGGGTTCAATTCCCGTTGGTGGATGGAAATACAAAGAAATCCACCAGCATGGCAGAATTTCCCTATCCCTCACTCACCAGAAAACACAAATG